TCTCTAGAAATTGCAAAGTCAAGCTTCTCTTTTTGAAGGCTCTGGACCTCCTTTTTGCAGCTGAATTAAGAGATGGCCCAGGATCCAGTTTCGGAGGACCGTAAACAGGGACTCCCTAGTCCTGCTCCGAGGCGTATTTCCCAGCAGGTCAGGCCTGCCTTAAAACTAACTGAGATGTCACGCGGACCTGCTGCAGGTTCCATATTAAGCAGGCCTGGTTCGAAAACTGACGGTGAAGCCGGGGTGCGCTTTTCACCCCAGATGAGCTATACTCTAAACTCCTTAAAGGGGGTTATATAGGGGATTATATAGGGGACTTACTATAGGGGTTATTAAGGGGGATACTAGGAGTGTAGACAGTAGCTCAGATGCTGAGGCGCACTACTTGGTATATGCGAGAACGAGGAGCTCCTCTCGAAGCTTTCGCTCTTTGGCTGCCCATGGCCAGTGGGACATCAAAGGGCTCGGAACAAGAGTACGCAGATTACCTTGGATCAACCAATCGCATTGCCTTCATATCCTCATTCATGGGCCTAAACTCTCCACGGAGAGTGTTGGTAGCACATTTACTGTAGCAAAGCTTCAGTTCCAAACATGTTTTGTACCTGCCCATGCCTGAAATCCACAGGCCTTTTGCGTAGGATCCCTACTCTGAAGTCGAAAGCATCCTTGCCCAGGTGGTATCTCGTGAACGAGAATGGCAACGGTGCGTGGAGCAGGCTTGGAATGCCAGGGGTACCTTTTTTGGGGGTCCCAATAATAAGGACTATAGTATATTAGGGTCTATATTGGGGTCCCCTTATTACTTTGGGAAACTACCAGCAACCAAAAAGTATGGGCTCGCTGGCCCGCACCCCGGGCAGATAGTTCAACTTTAAAAGCAGTACGTTCGGGGTCAGAGGCCTTATGACTCTCAGGCGCTGTTTGTGAGCATTCCACAGATACAGAACTCCCGCTTAGCATGTCTGAAACTTTCCATGATGGCAGGCCATTCTGGCAGCCCGTACCAAGTGCAAAGTCACTTGACAATGTTGCCTCTCGGCCCATGCATGACCGCATGATGAACCTGAGACTGGGAGACCTTTAGAGTACAGCCCGGAATGTGTTCATCAAGAGGCTGGAGGAACTACTGAGGATATTGTTTGGAGTTCTTTCACATGTCTGATTTTGTCAGAGGCCATGTTTGCTTCTGCAGCTCGCGCCACAACTCTTCATCCGGCAATGGCTGGGGAGGATCTGTGGAGGCTTGCAAGCCTGGACTTGTTTTGCACATTTGGCAGTCTCCGCCTACAGGCACAGCTTTGCAAAGCTGCCGTTTGCCTCAGCCATCTTCATCTTCTAGGCAATGTTGGAATCAGAGGGTAGCATGCGACTGGCCGGGGCACCAAACCTGTGGCTTATTCACGCGCACTCACGACGTCTTGAACTGACTACTGAGCGATGCAGGGCGGGATCCTTCGAAGTTGGGTCTCATGACAAGCTGGTTGCTCTGAACTTGGGGGGATCAGAGAAACCATGAGGAGGCCCTACCAGCAGTCGAGTTCTCAATCAAACAGCCTACGGCGAGACTGATTTGGATCCAAGACCAACTCACATTGCAATCCACGACTTGAGGCGAGACTCTCTGGGTTGGTGTTGCTTGTCCACTGCTTGGGCGCAGGCTTGCCTTCCTGGACTGGAGCAGATTTCTCGAGGCTACAGGAGAGGCGCTGCCGATGTATTTGAATAAGACGGTCGGCTTCTGAAGTCTCATTCAATGTCAGTGGCAAGTCAGTGCATGTGACTCGTGGTGTCAAGCCCTGCATGGCTCCGCTTCCAGGAAGTAGGGCCCTCATATCCCCCTCAACGAAGCAACCTTGCCCAAAGGGCACCATAGCTTGACAGTTTCTCTCAGCGTTGCTGTTGACACTGATGACACTGCCGCTTGTTGAATGTCACGTGTGTGCTGTCCCGAGCCACTTTTTTGTCAGGCTTGGCCTGCTGGCTCAACGCTGTACTGGCTGCTCCAGCATGATACTCAAGTTGACACTTGCAAGCCAGTAATTAGGATGGATCCTCATGTCACATCTTGAAATTGACATGGCCATATTCATGCTCCCCTCTATGCCCCCAATATAATAACATACGGTGCCCTAACGTGCTTATCCAAAGAAAAGCACCCACAGCCATAATCTTGACCAAGCTGCACAGCAGGGTGGTGACCAGCAGTATTGGAGGTTTCCCAAAATTAGGGGCACCCTTTTGAGAGTCCCTATAATACGGACTATGGGATTTGGGGGTCTATATTGGGGTCCCCTATTTAGAGAACTACCAATTTGAGATCCAGGCAGCAAGAAATGCCTGTTCCGGATGTTTCCGATGGTTGGAAGCTCAGCTTTGTTTTAGTTTCTTCCCGGAATATTAAAACCCCACCCCTCAAATATTGAATATTCCCTTTATTATAGTAGACCGCAAGGGGGGTGGGGGGTTTAGCATTAGGGGGAGGGATTAATGGTTGAAGGTGCAGAGTCTTCGGCCTTCAGACCAGGGCTAGAGACTCGACAGCATCGCCCAGTGAGGGAAGCAAAGGATATGTGAAGGATAAGTGTCAGTACACTTCGCTGACATAGTGACGTTCCAGGCAAGAAATATGCGGGCTTCCCAGAATTCGGTGTATTTTTGGGGGTCCCTGTAATCAGTTAATGGAAACTATCATATTTGGAAGATATTTGAGTTGTGGTCTTGTAGCCAGCATTTTGATTCAACGACACGCCTGCGCGTTTGGCATTGCACTTTGCAGCCAACCTAAAATAAAACCCCCAACATAAACCCATATCAACCCAATATAACCCCATATAACCCCTAGATAACCGCCATGTTACCCCTATATAACCCCATATGGTAGTTTCCCAAAATAAGGGGATCCCAATATAGAGCCCAATATACTATAGTCCTTATTATGGGGACCCCCAAAAAGGTACCCCTAATTTAGGGAAACTCCCATATAACCCCTAATATTACCCAATATAGCCCTAATTAGCTTCTTACCTGAGGCTGTGATGCCCTTTACTACATTGGAGTCCAAGCTCAGGCCATCTGAGCTGCAGGGTAAGTCCCATGGGCCTCCAATTTAGGGTTTTAGGGTTTGAGGGTTTAGGGTTTAAATTTGGGGTTTAGGGTTTATATCCCCAACTGTATGATATCCCCCTATAAATCCATAGAACTTATATATAATCCCATGTACACTGCGTTGCCCTGTGGGCTTTAGTATCATCACATGCCATGCGGGCACATACAAGAAACAGAATGGAGGAGTCCATCTTGGTTTGCACAAGTCTTGGGTCGAATGGCTGGTTGCAGAAAAAGGAGGCACATGAACTGTAGTCTAAACTCCTGAAAGGGGGTTATATAGGGGATTACTAAACATTACTAAACCCTAAACCCTAAGCGGGATACTAGGAGTTTAGAACATAGCTCACATGCCCAGAGCCGAAGTGACAGGCCCAATCGGACTGGTTGCTTCTGGCGGTATCCTTGCCACTGGGCCGGAATTGGAGAACAGCTTCGTGTGTGACTGTCCTCCAGAAGCTTACAGTGAGACAACTTTTGGAAACCCTAATGACTATAACCCATTATATAATGCCAGTTTCCATCTCATTTTCCATGTTCTTTTCCATTTGATTGATTTGATTCTCCCTTCTTAGGGCAATAGGAAGTTCCAAAAGGGCTGGAGGAGCAGCCAAGGTCAGACTACCTGCGCAATCGCAGCTGGGATGGATGCTACCTCACTGTCACAGGCTGCGGGCCTAGGGCCATATTGGGGTAATATTAGGGGTTATATGGGGGTTATATAGGGGTAATAGGGCGGTTATCCAGGGGTTATATTCGGGGTTGTATTGTAGATTCACCAGCCAGAAAGTCGGGCCTGTGAGTGGGTCGGGATCGTCGTGCTCATGATAGTTGGGATATTGGAGAATGCTGCAGAATGGCATCTCCGATGGCGGTCGTTCTCTTTGGTCTGAACCAAACAAAGATCTTAGGCGGACCCCCAGCGACTATAGGGGTTAATGGTGGTGATATGAGGGTCCTCTTATGTTCCTTTTACTCCACTATTACACGGTGGGGGGTCCACTTAACAAAGATCATATTCCGTGCATGTTGGACAGAACAGTCCGACGTGTGGCCCTCCTTATGAGAGGCTCAGTGGAGCACCTTCTCGCGGATTCGAGGTGCACACCGTGCTCTTGAGTGCACGCATTTGTGTGCTTGCGTTTTGTTTGAATTATGCACTCCTGGTAATTGCTCACAAGTGTGGTTCCGGTAGTGGTTAAGTTATTTCTCACCAACTGCCTACCAACTCCACATCCTAGGTCCTACACGCGGGGATACTTGGGACAGCTAGATGAAGACTAGTGGCCTCACTATTCCCCCCAAAATCCCCCTCTCCTTGTTCCTGGTGCTTGCAGGGCCGCTCCTGCTGAGCTCTCCTGCATCATTCGTCAGCATGCAGCTGCTCTCCGCTTTTGTGTCAGGCGCATGGGCCGTTGATGAGCTTCTCATTCTGTTGGTTTTCTCAGTATACAGAAATCGGCTTGTCTTTCTCAGCTTTTGTAATGACCCATAGGACTTCTGTGGAGGCGGGCATGGGAAGCAATCGAACTTAGCTGTTACGACAGCTGTTTTTGAAGTGGGCCAGCTGCCTTAGTTAAATGGGTCCTAAACTTCAGGTTCTAGTGTAGAAAGACCTGGGTCGAGAGGAGTTCAAAACTACATTGAGGCAATGGCTTTTTCAATGCGTCTCTGCTAGGCTCCGCAAGAAGAATTACCAGTAGAGCGTACGGGCTTTTACCGGAAAACCAAAGATTTGACGCTGGGCTTTTGCGCTCAGCAGCTTCCACACATCGAGCTTTCACGGCCAGTTGGAAGAAGCTGTGGCATTCAAGCCTACATTTCCCTTCGTACGAGGGCAGTCTTCTGGATCAAAAGGGCCTTGTCTAGCATATAGCCCACAAAGCTCCACCATGGCCCTTGTCGCCCAACTGCCAAATGCGGGCCTCCTGAAGAAAGTCGCGGACGCAATGAAGGACATGCATGTGGATGGTTTGTGCAACATTAGTGGGCACCGCACAAGAGCAACGACAAATGGCAGCGCTTGGCAGCAAGATAGCTAGCGCTTTGTGTCTGTCTCGATTTTCGATCTCTTACTGCGCAGGACTTGTGCAAAGACGTCAACTTCGACTGCTCTGAAAAGGGCATCCAGGCCTGACCCATGCCACGCCCTAGATTTGTGCGTAGATGACAGGGTCTAGCTTTGATGGTCTAAAGTCTAAAGCCTTAGCGCCAGGTTATCCAGAGATTCGTGATTGTAGCTGTCCATTCATCTTGACTGACTCTGCCTCCACGATACTGGACATACAGCTCGTTATTCAACAACTGCATCTTGGGAGTCTCCCCCAAATTGATTTGCAGAGACCAGGCAACCTTAAACCCAAAAATTGGTTTCCCCCCCCCCTCCCCCCCAATTGCTCAGGTGCAGTCAATGGACAGCTCCCATGTGGCTCTGGTGTCCTTGAACTTGAAGGAGTCGGCTTTCACGGAGTTCAAGTGCGAGCGACCAGCGCTTTGCCTCAAGACCTAGGTAGGACAATAGTCATGTATCACCAAGTGATAGCCTAGACCCCCCCCTATAGTTATTGTCATAAGTAACACTGTAAATATTCCTGAGCTTGTGGCGGGTCTTTGAAATACTGACCTTGCCTCCTTGGGTTTCTGCAGGGGGGTAGCGTTGTGAGAGATATGCCCAGCTAAAGGATGATTTTAAGCGGCTACTGGTATCGTAGGAAGCCTGAGGGTTAGTGGTGTCCTTGCCTTGGGATGCGAATGTTGCATAAGATTGGCAAATCCAACCTGCCGTTGTCTTTCGATTTGATTGGCAATGCTGCTAGACATTTGGGGGGTTGCTAAAAAAACTTAATTGAAGTTACTGTGTAGGAGAAGCTGCATTAATTATTATGTGTGTGTGTGTATCTACATACATATACCCATCACGCTAACTTCAGCTGCAAATCCTGCTGACCGCTGCTAGGCATCCTTGGGAATGAACGTGGACTCCTTGACGAAGATCTTGAAGATGACGAGCCCAAACGACACCCTCAAGATCAGACATCAGGTGGATTCCGATGCAGCCTGTCCTACTGTCCTGCTAGTAACTTGTATCTGGAGGAGATAACCTCACCCAAACCAACGTTGAAGTCCATACAGGCCCCCTTTAGACGTGACAGTAGTCTTTGTAGGGCACCCTGGGGCTTCGTGGTAATTCCTGGGGCAAGAGGTATCAAATGCTCTGAAACGGGCTTCATCACGCCTTCAGCATGTTTCCTAAAGTCATGGCCCCGAGGCCTTGTTCATAGTGACTCAAATCCGCAGGTAGGGTCGCAAGAACGTGATGCCAGAAGACTCCAGGCAAGCCTAAATCGGACGATAGATGCTGCCATGAAAGCATGTCAAAATCTCGAAGCCATTGCCTAAACCCCAAACCCTAAACAGTTTCCGCGTGCCTGCTGAGAGCGATGCGCGTGTCTATACAGTTTCCGCATGCAAAAACCAAACAGTTTGGAAGCAGGACTAGTTACACCATGATTTCCGAGCTTCTTCCCACGTGTTCAACCCATGCATCCCAAGTCCCGCCTATCTGGCAGAGGGAGGGAGATCCCTTATGGTCACTACTGTGAGGGCCTGAACCCTAAATCCCTTAACTCAGAAGTGCTCAGGTAGTGGGCTTCCAGTGCGAGGGCTCAGATGACAGGATCTCTGAGTTCGAGCTGAAACTGATGCAGATTCTCGGATATTACCAGGAATGCTTTCTAGTTACTATGGAACTTAGCCCTTATGTTACCTACAAAGCCATAAGAAATACATGTTTATAGGGCGCCCCCAAGTCTATCCCAGGATTGAAAGTGAGCACATGGAGATTCCGGAGCAGTGTGGGCCCCAGACTGAAAAATGGGAGTTTCCCAAAATTAGGTAAGGATTAATTTTGGGAACCTACCAAATGCCAAGTCGGGCGAGTGGGTTGACCGCGCAGGTACGACACTGGTCTGCTTGCGAGTTCCCGTTCATTCCATCTTGTCTGGAATTTGAGGCACTACAAGGTTGTCGCCAAGATGCCCTCATCCGAGTTTCAGAAAATCTGCCGAGACCTGAAGGTCCCTTTGCCTTAAGTTTCGGATTTAGGGCTTTGGGTGAAAGAGTTCTGATTGCTATCTGGCATCCTGAATGGCTGCAAGGGGATGGATTCAGCAAAATCAGGCTCCGAAATTATCCCCAACAGGATGGGGGATCCTCACAGTAGAGATCCGTACGAAAGAGTGTGCCCTTGCACTACAATCCGGCTGGTGTTACTACCATTAAGTTGCTACGAAGTATCATTATTGCTAGCTTCACTATTATCATTATCATTCTCATTATTACTCTTATTGCAATGTTTAAATGGCTCGTATTATTATGACGATGATGACAACTATTCCTTTTCCTGCGGCTGCAGGAGTTCGGGGAGACTCTTGCGCTGAGCGGCAGCAAGGAGGGCTTGAAGTTTCAGGTGACTTACTGGCGATCAGCAGGGAATAAGATGGAATAAGGGAATATGGGGGTATAATGTAGGGTTATATAGTGACTATTTCATGGTCCTGCATTCTGCGTTCCCGGCCCCCTCCAACTGGTATCCCCCCTCAACCCCCCCTGGTATGCTTCAACAGATTGGGTCGCTCAGGGTCGCCATGCTCGCAACTGTCGTCGTTTTTTCGGCGCAAGAGAGTCGGTCGCCATCCTTGTAACTGTCGTCACTGCTAGCACCTGGTAAGCATCAGCAGTCACAGGGATCGTGGCGGTCCTCATCGCAATCCTTCCAACTGTTGTCGCTTTTTCAACCTCCTATTGTTGTCGCGTTTCAACAGTACTCAGAGTCACGGGATCGGGATCGTCCTCATCTTATTCTCGTCTTCTGAAAGGGAAATTCACGCATTAGCATTCATCGTCTTCTTTATCAGCAAATTGACACGCACACCTGCATAGTGGGGGTTGACCTGCACATGCACAGGGAGGGGCTGGGGTAATTCAAGCATTAGCAGTGACATGTATCTTAGGGTTCGGCGTGCTTGCCAAGCATAGAAGATACAGTAGTTACCATACGGAAGAGGAGGGGAGGGGGGCGCCTGGGAGTGATCTTTTTGGGAATTTTCTCTAGTTAATGTATATAGGGATTATAAAGGGACTGTATAGGGATTGTATTCCCTTATTCCCCACAAACCCCCAGTAAGGTGAAAGGCGACATCGGCAGCGGCAACGTGCTGCTGAAGCCTCGGGAGAGCGACAAGCCCGAGGTCCGGAATTCTTTACGGAGGGCTGCAACACCACTTGCAGACTTTGCCAAGAAATGTAGTCCCCCTTAAGGAGATAGAATATGTGGTATATGGGGATCTTATTATACTATACCCAAAGCCATATTCTATCTACTTAAGGGGGGACTGTATATTAATAAGAATAAGAATAGTAATACTGATAGTAATAATAGTAACAAGAACAGTAATCATAGTAGTAATGATGTGTAATGATACCGACAAATGCCATGGAGTTGGGTGGGCAGGAGAAAGTCAGCCTCACCATCCACGAGCCAGTGAATGCCACCTTCGCGCTACGCTATCTGGTAAACTTTGCGAAGGCCTGGTCATGTGATGGTAAGGGGATGTAAGGGGTGCATGGTGTTTGTTAAGCTCAGTGAAGTGAGCGAACTAGGCAACCAAGTTGGAGACACTCCGTTCGTGGGTCCTGCCTCGTCGAGCAAACTTGCAAAGGATGGAGACCTGACGGGCGTTTCTCAAAAATCAGGGCGCACCTGCAAATAGCATGTCACCATGTCCCTTACTGTGGAGACACGAAGAAATGTCCAAATGGTGCTTTAAGCTGAAGATGGTCCCAAATTTGCTCAATTTGCGGTTCTGAAGTTGTTACAAGGTGGCCAGATCCATGTAGCAGTCATTAGGCAGCGCCGCTTTGCGGTTCCGTGACGTTGGGACTTGGCCCGGACGCGCCTCTCCTCGCTGCTTGGTCGCAGGGGGTTGCCTGCATGCAGAGGGACTGCAGTCCCGTATGGGGGTTTCCCAAAAGTAGGGATAGTTGCCCATTACAAGGACTAGACTATATTCGTCTATACTGAAGTGCCCCTAGGGCAACTACCATAAAGGGGGTTCCAAAACATGACAGGTGCTAGTTTTGGAGTCCCTTGTTGGAAGCTCCCGTTCCTGTTGTTACCTCAATCAGGTCTGTAGAAATTTCGGCGGCATGTCGCATTCATTTTTTCAGAAGAACTCCTGGGGCAAAATGTTGCAGCCGCAGAAACAGAATGTTGAGAACCCTTTTCAGATGTCAGGGCCTTGCAGAACTCAGCTTGGATGATCGTGCTTGTGGATGCCCTACTCATAGCACCTAGACTTCAAGGACCTTTCCCATGCACACCACTACTGTACTGGTGTTGATCAAGAGTTGGAGTTGGTTGACACTGAAGTTGCGAATGTCTCCTTGCGGCACGGCATGAGCCCGAGCTTCTCGCAGGTGCAATACGACCTTGAAAGCGAGGATGCGCTGCATGCTGACATGACATGGCAAGCTAGTTTCGTTGAGGCTCATGGGACAATTAGCTTCTTGTGTGGCCCTTGCTGTCAGGACAAGGGAAGCTTGAAGTATTACCTCGCGCCCAAGATTGACGAGTGAACGCGTTTGGCGGTGACAGGGGGCTTTCCCAAAAGCTTCAAATAGCTCCAGTCATGCAAGTGACAAGTGGTTAGATGACTGCATGGAAGCAAGTAGGCATGAACACAATGGATACCACCTATGAAAAACCAAGAAATTCCCCTTTGACCCACAGTTCTGCACAGCCCGGAGTGGGCCCCAAAAACATATGCTGGGGATGGGCTTCCACTCGGTGGCTGGCTCGGGCAACAAGTCGTGAAGCGTGCAAGACGCCTTTCCATTGCCTTGGTCTCACACCCTATTGGACGCTACATCTATATACAAACAGACATATATACATACATATCTTCATTTGTAGTATGTACATGGTGGTGCGGCAGTGGGTCCAGACTTGTGCCCGCGGTAGGCTTCGGCGAATCAGCCTCGACACATCCGCAGCAAAATTGTCACGCTAGACTTTGATTTGATGTTTGGCTGACAACTTATGTACACACCCTAAACCCTAGATAGAAGTTTCCATTTGACTTCCCGTTGGTCCCTGTATAACCCCTGTATTATACTTGCTTCTACTAGAGCCTGTCAGACCTGCACTGCTGTCTCAGGGAATTCTTGCAGTGTCACGCTTGATGTTCAAAGCTGTGAAGTGCATCGTCGAACTTGGAAGGCATTACGTCATCCTAGAAGATGACACGGGGCTGGTGCCACCAGATCCAGAATCGGAGAGGCCTTCTTACTTGCATTCATTTCTGGCCACCGCTTGCTCTGATGTAGAGTATGACTGGCTCTTCCCGAAGCATTTCCGTCTCTGGGCACCCAAAAACAAGAAGTATGACACACATTGCACGTCAGATGTACCCGGGCAGACGGCAAGGCTGCTTCCTCAAAAGCACCATCCTCGTATGCTTATGATATACCCAATGCAATGTTTATGGCTCCGTATCAAGCAGCAAAGGGGCAATACTAGAGCTCATGGCCTGCGACTGCTATCTAAGAGGGTTGGCGCGGAAGTGTGAAGGCACTTCGAAACCTGGGCCGGCAAGGTGCCTGAGTCCCGGCTTGTCGAGACCAGGATGGCAGATAGTACAGGACAATTTGAAATCCCCCAATCCTGACCGTGAGATGTTCTCGATTGTGGAGCCATCCCAGCACAGGCGTTTACTCGAAATCTCTGTGAATCGTCCTGAAAATTGTGTTCGCGAATCTGCGCGAGCGATACTTTCACGCATCTTACAGGAGTTGCACGTTCTGTCCTTGTAGTCCTCGAGAGATCAGGGAAGTACGAACAAGAACAAATCCTTTTCTAATTCCTGTATCCTTCCCTAGTGAAGAAACCGCAACGTTTCGTAATCTCCGCAGCAGCTCCTGCTGCGCCCAACAGTCGAGGCCTCGACAACTCCTCCTTCCCTGGCAGAGCTGTAGCGCTTTCGGCGAAACCCTTCGCTGTCCGGGAGGCCAACGTTTGGTGGTCTCTGGGGCTTCTTGGGGTCCACCTGCAAGGTAAAAGGGAATTGGGGGTCCCTAAGCCCCTATTCAGGATTTTCTGCGGACCAGTATTTTGCGAAAATTCACGGAAATTTCCTGCTCACTCCCAAAACGCAGCCTGAGCTTTAGTGGTTTTCCTCGCATGCTTGACAAGCTAGGCAGGAATGAACAGAAGCTTGAGCTCTGGGAAACTTCAGAAATTCCAAGGTTTGAGTGCTTAAGATTCGCAAATTCGGGTTTGCTAGCCAGAGCTTTGGGCTCAAGAAGGTTAGCGTTGGGATTTGTTCGCTGCCAAAGGCATGTTGAGAGCGGACATCGGGTTGCGTGGTCATTCAGCCCGGACGCTAGCATGTTAACACGTTGTCACATACCCTCCAGCTACGCAAGAATCGGACGTGAAATGAGATTTGTCAGAAGTCGCGGGCCTGATTTATGCAACATTTCCGCTCGGTCCTTGTATACTTCCCAAGACATTCCTACATAGGATCCTTTTCAAATGGGGGCGCAACAGCTCATGGGTCGGTCATAGGAATCTACCAGACAGAATCTGCGAATCATACAAGCCGCTCCCAGGCGGCAGGTGAAGAGCTACACGCACCTCCACAGGAATAGGAACCCTATAGGGTTTTAGGAGGGTTTAGGGTTATATTGGGGTTATATAGTAATAATGGAAAAGAAAATGGAAACTACTACAATGGGTTTATATAGGGTTTTATATTGACAAATGCATCTGGGGTCCACGGTCCACTCTAAACGTTGAAAGCATCGGGGTTTTATAATGACAAATGCATCTGGGGTCCACGGTCCACTCTAAACGTTGAAAGCATCGGCGGATTCTCCCAATATCACTTATCACCAGCGGTAAGCCCTGAGAGCCTGTACATTGGCGAACGTACTCAGTAAACTTGGATATTCATGATTGTATTGTTATATTTTAGCCCTCAACTATACTCCTAGTATAGACGGTTACTAGTTCTGGAGAGGCAGGCTTTGACGTTCCTTGAGCCTTGAAGCTCCACGCACATGAGAACTAAGCACCCATCATCACAAATATTCGCGCTGATGATATCTGCCAAGTCAGCATACCGTTTGATGCCACTGCAAAGTCCGGTACCTCCTTGTTCTGCGTTCGCTAGGCGCTTCCCTGATGCTGCTCGGCAGCATCTGAAGCGCTGGAGAAAGTGGTAACCTCCGCGTGTACCGTTCGCCTTAAGATTGGGGCCCAGGAAATTGAGAAAAACTGACGGAGATGTTGGTAGAGATGGGAGAGTCGCGAAAGATCATCAAATAGCTCCCTGCATCGCGTATATTTGCAGAGCTGTCAATGCTCAACCTTGCACTTATGGCCACATGAAGGTCTCCTTGATTAGGGGTACAATTTTGGACAATAAGGATTATAGTATTTGGGGGTCTATGTTTGGTGCCCCTGATGTCTACGGCCTTTCTACCTTCAAGTCGAAAAGCTTGGTCACATGGCCCGATAATCACATACAAGAGCCTAATGTTGTTCACACCGGCCACTTGCGCACAACCCTCCTCCCAGCGGGAAGAAACTCGGTCCTTGCTACTTGGGACCCGTTAGCTCTTAGTTTCAGACATCCTTATTGAACATCCACGAGCGCACGGTTTATCACAGTAAAGTATAGCTGAAGCAATGCAATGACGCGCATGTGAGGCTAAAAGGATGGAACGGAGGCCAGCGCTCTCTGGCCAAGTGACAGAGGTTTTGGCTGACGATCATGACTACTCACGCAGATGCGATCAGGTTTGAGCATAGGATAGGCAGAGCATTCATAATTTTCGCAACAGCGACAAGAACATCAATCCAGATGGTCATGGAGATCATGGACGGCGTTTTGGCAATAAGGGTACTAGTGTTACTAGTGCAACAGTTGGCCCAGATGACGAGGCAGAGTGTTTTGTACGCATGGTCCTGCATGGGCGTTCACGTTGGAAGGAGAGATTGCATACTGCCCTTTGGCTCTGGCAGCCCGCAGCAGGGCCCCCTTAAATCTTGGTGGCTCAGCCGCTTATGTTTGGCAGAACGCTGGCCTCAGGCAAGTAGTTGGGTACTGTAGCCCCTTCTTCCATACCTTCGTCATTGTCACTCACATCTACCATCTGCCAGCCAACCACCAACACATACACAGCCGGCCGCACGCGCGCACCAATTTTCTTGCGCAGCCTGTATTAACAGAAGGCTTCCTCCAAGAGCCCATTGTGCCATGGAAACGTGAGGGATCTAGGTAGCAGCCATGAGCAGCCAGGCCGCATTTAAGCTTAGCAGATGGAGAGGATCAAGCTTGTGGGCATGAATGATGAGACTGAGCGATGACGCTTTTCTTTATGTTTTGATCCTATCCATGCCTTCTTGAATGCATACCTGAGATGTTGCAAGTTTCCAAGATGCACATGCCAGCGGCTGCAACTCATATGAGTCTTGCTTCTGTCTGACTGTCAGATGGACTGTGCATGCATGCCTAGATGCAGGCGTAAATGGAGAGGGCAGCTTTACTACAACAAGTGGCATGTGTGCAGATTGCATGGCATGTGCATTTGAGATACATACACATGCGCAAGAGCATTCTCAAATGCATACATGATTTACAGCAAGTCCGGAGACCTATGCAGAAGCATCTATGGTTGAAAGGCAGGGAAGATATCGCTGTCCGGTTGCCTTTGGGCTCCAGCTGAGGGTTGGCAGAGCCACGCTTTAGATAACGAGTAAACCAAGAAGCCGATATTGACCATGAACGCCCTGTCATGTAGGCTCTGCACATATGAGTGGCCAGCTTATGAAGTATGCCAGGAATCTTTCCGACAAGTTATGCCGTGCCATGCTCAGAGTTGCTGAAAGAAACTGCACAGGTTCAGGAATAGTCCCTTCGGTAGCTCCCAGATTTGCAGAGTATGGGTGCGGAGCAGCAAAGCGCAAAGTAATTAGTGAGACAACCACGTCTTCCTTGACAGCATGCTGCTACAGGAGCAGCCGCTGGTTCTTCAACCAATGCAACTGCTACCACCCGATCCGAGCGACACTGGTCGCATTGCGCGACGCACGTACAAGCCAAATGGCCCAACATTTGAGAAAACAAAGGCAGAGGATCCACCTGCAGGGAGACTGCGCCAGTTTCAAGATATTCGTGATGCCAGGGACTGGGCAGGCTTGGAGCCAGAAGCCTGGGATGCAGTTTGCGATCAATGTGGAGGCTTTGCTGACCTGTGGCAGCTGGCGCAGATCAGCCCAGAAAAGCTAAGAAAAGCCATCATCTCTGCACGCATCGCTCGCGTAGACCAACAGGGCAGGCCTGCTGCTGTAGCCGCATTGCATGGGGCTGCGCCCCTGCCCTCTTTCAGGGCCTTGTGCCCAGTGGAAGCTGCCCAAGTTGGGCTCATTTGGCGGCTTGCGCAGGCTATAGCAGGGGAAGGCCCGGTGAAGGTCAGCGACCAGAACCTACCAGAGGAGCAACATCCACGTGTGCAGGTAGAAGATGCCCAGTGGTGCCATGGAGTCCTTGAGTTTTTACTTTTACTTGTGTGTTCTGCTGCTCGTGTTTTGGGTTCATGTCTTCCATTGGCTTCACAGGAGGCAAATTTAAGGATCCAGTTCAAGAGAGCTCCAGGTATGAAGTCACCTTCGACAAGGTCTTCATCAAGAAAGCACCCCAGCAGGATGCCAGATCCTGGGGCTGGGTCCTCCAAGGGCAGAAGATCCAGGCTTGCCGGTCAAAGTAAGAACCAGTGAGTCAGCATAGGGGATCTCCAAAAGAGAGCTCATGTTGAGGAGAAGCTCTGCACTGGCACGTAAGTTTTGACATGTTGACTCCCAGATCCTCCTAGAAGGAACTGAGTGTTGAACAGCTCCATGAGTCTATGTTTCCGCTGCCGGGAACAATGTAGAGCCATGGGGCCTTGAAAGCACCACCTCTTTGACATTCCAGGTTTCGACACGTGAGAACCCAATAAGTGCTGCTAGAAGCCTGGCATACGGCTTGATAGGGTGCTTGCCAGCCAATAATCCCTATAATTTCCATTCTCTTTTCCGTTATCCCTATAGAGCCCCAATAATACCTGCTGTTTCCATTTTCGTTTCCAAAATCCTTATAGAACCCCAGGTGTCTCCAAAACTTCTGTTGGACGTGAACGGCCGGGAATGGGTGGAGCTGACGTTCATGCAGTGCCTTTGCTTCTTTCGGCCTTTTCTTGGTTAAGTGCACAGCTCCCACGATCAGGGTCTATGTTTTACTTGTACATGACCCTTATACTTTAGAAAGCTTTGTAAACGAGATCGCGGCCAGAGCTCTACTTGGAACCCAAGTAGATTCCACCTACGTAGATGAAGTGGCTGTAGCCTTGGGCGTGGCAGGGCTCTTGTCTCGACCTGGTAGATTGGGAAGGCCTGGCTCAGTTTGGTTTCGTGCGACTTTGGGCAAACCTCTGAGACCGTGAACCCCGTTTCGGATGCTAGTCTCAGCGTCGAAGTCTCAAAGCAGGGGCAGACCACCAAAAATTAGTAGTCAGTACAGGAAGTGTGCGCATGATCACCTGAAAGATGGCAGCAGATGATCACAGAGGCTAGCTGTCGAGCTACTTCCTAGTCCATCTAGGCAATAGGGATATTGGTCTGGAAGAATCCTATCCATCATGTGAATCCTTATTCGAACACCTGACACGAAAGTAGGGAACTTGAGATGAGGCTCGCCCGGTCCTGCCCTGAGCGCCTCTCAAGCGATGATCCCTTGGGACGCGGATTCGCCTTGGTCGACGGCTGCTGGGATCCTTCAGGGGAATTCCATATTGCTTCATGTGGGACGGCTTGGGAGTCCTGAAGGAAGTATCTAAATGACTTCGGACGGCTGTTTTGTTGCGGGGGCTTGTGGTAGGAGCTTTCCTGATTGCTGGAACCATAGTGTCCATTGCGGCAATCAGAAGCAGCTATTACAGAAACGGTAGTATCGGTACTAGACTACAAAATATTACAAGTTACAACAGCACAGCCCTTGTCCCTTCATCCGTACAGCCCCCATGACATTCCGTAAGCCACTCCAGAGGCTTGTTCAGGCCTATACACTTTTATTCCTGCGGATGTTTGAATCTTCAGAGAGGTCTATTTGAGGCATATCTTTGGCGCCTGTGATTTTGGAAAATTGTCGTATGCTTTTCAGACCTGACACAATCTTGAAGCAGGTGTACACTACCTACATGGCGATTTCCAACAATGGCCTCTTCATACCCCCAATATGTCAAAATCCTCCTTCTCGTGGCCCCGAAGCGGACCCCTCATTTTCGGAAAGACCCATGAAGATCAGGTGGACTCCTTCCCGGTAATAGTGGGTAAGGAATAATGGTGATCATTATTAGGATCCTCTTATATTCCTGGTATACCACTATTACAGGGTGTGGGGTCCACATTACATACCCTGAACCCGTGGAACCCTCAACCCCTGAAACCCTCAACCCTAAAAAACCTAGGCAAAACCCTAAGCCCGCTACATGTTTGAATTCCTGCTCTTCTTGGAATGCCTAGGCGAGCACTTGGGCCTTGGCAGGCTCTTGTCTGGGCCGCTACCTAGCAAGGCGTCAAGGGCGTAGTCTCCTTGTGGCTTTGAAGTAGTAGTACCCCAAGTAATTATTCAAAATAGTGTGTTCAGTATAGGTCTAGGGGATTGCAGTAGAGGGAGTGTGTAGGGTTTAGGGGAGGGTTACTGACTTAGGGTTGTAGCAATGGAGAACAGACAGGACAGGAACATCGCGGATGTAATGGGAACTGGGGGCTTATATGCTGGAGGGAAAGTTTGGTAACCCTATAGTCATGCAGAATCAGGTGGGAAAGAATGGAACATACCGTGGAAACAGTGGTTATATTGGTGACGTGTACGCAAGGCAGAGCTATGTCATGACCCCTCACATAAGGACCCCTATAAGATCCTCCGATAGTCAAATGGTTCTCACATTGGAGCGGTGGGGTAACCCGCCGGGTACGAAGATCCCCTCAATAGTTTGTAGCAAGCTGTGCAGCAACTGCCAAATCATGATTTGCTTCGAGCTTCTTGTGAGTTCTTCATGGTAACTGCAGCTTTTATCTTGGTTGGTGGTCTCCTCCCGCTGATACTGAGCTCCCCACCTCTGACAATTATAGCCCCATATGCCGCTGAGTGGACGTCTGTTTTGGGCTCACGGATCGCAAAGCCCCAAGCTCGGGAGACTGAACAGTTACCCAGCGCCCAAATTCATAGGGTCACATGGGGGGGCACCCGACATAACAGCCCCCAGAATAAGGGACACATAGGGATTACTGAGGCCATCTTAGATTATTGAGGTTTATTTTGGGTTTATTTTGGGGTTGGGACCGCCCTGGGACTCTATGACACATCACACCAACAGACGATTGTGTTGTCTGGTTTTGGTAACGTGGGTTGGCTTTTTGCTTTGCAGTCCCAGAAACAACCAAGACCAAATTGGCTACCCTTTCGGTCCTCCTTTGGGGGCCAGATGTAGAGGGAAACGAAGTGTTGACACACAGCCCCCTGGATCTCCCAAGCTACCGGAGGAGTGGCCGCAAGGGTTGGAGGAGGCGCAGAGCACTGTTGAGGCAGAGCATGTGGGAGCTACATCCAAACTCCCAAAAGGCCCAAATGTCTTACAAGGGCCCTGTGTGGGACTCTGTGCTTGCTTTGGAAAATGATCAGTGGGTATTCATCGACGCTTCCATTCCTTGCTCGTGGAATTCAGAAGTACGTATGGTGTACATGGCGTATTGCAGCTGACATGTTTGGGTGTGTAAGCTGGCGGTGTAGACTGCAGCATGTCCCCCTGACAAATTGCCCTGTGACGTTTCTGGATTGTGTATTTAGGGGTCTCCCTAAACTAGGGGTACCTTTTGGGGGGTCCCAGCATAAGGTTTACAGTATATTCGGGAAACTACACTTTGTCTCAATGATCAGGCGGCTTTGAAGTGCCCTTCAAGACTCCTCCACTACAGCTCTAGCAGGAGCGTGTGGTTCTCCGGCGGCTCAGCGGCGAACGGCTGAAATTCCAGGTGCAAGCATCACTCAACCTTCCTTATCGGGGGAAGGATGTCACTAGCCAAGAGAGCCCATTTAGTGTGGATAGCTCTAGACCAGACATTCGGAGCGGAGTGATGCAACATGAGAAGCTGTGGCTCTTCAATTCAAAGCTCCTTGCCGCCTTCAGTTGAAGTCGGGGGACTTTGTTGCTTCGCTTTGCTTCCGCGCCGCCGAAGCTACTCGACTGTAATTACACCGCACGGTCGAGCCGCAGGTTCTGTGGATACTGTAGATACATGCGCTCGTATTTCAACTCATATTTTAATCAATTTCTAGCTGTTCTGACAAGAAGGCGGATTGGGTTTACCGCAAAATGGTCGGGGGGACAGCCGTTGCGAGTTTGAGGAAAATGTTGTTGCCCAAAATTGTGTCAGTGTCCAACTTTCAGCCACAACTAATTACTGGGGATTCAGGGATTGTATGAAATCAGAGAGGGAGAGGGTCACATTTCGTTAAAGAAACGTCCAACTAAGCTGAGGTTCTTCAGGCGCCAGCTGCGCGCATCCGACTGATCCTGGACGGAGAAGTTCTGCGGCTTGGCAGCTAATGGAGCTCTTGACTTACATCTGATTAGCAGGGACCCAAGACATAGACAAGAAAATGGGAACTAGTACATTATTATTGGGTATTATATAGGGACTACTGTAAGGATCCATTCCTTGATTCCTTGCTCACCGGGAGTAAGTTCAGATCCAAACTCTCCTTTCTTATCCGCTCATGGGGCTGGATATTGCTTCAGTACCCTGACGCTGCGCTCTCTAAGTCTCTCAGCATGAAATCCGCAACAAGCGGCCCGGGACCTCCCCTCAGATCTGGGCCAGCTCTGTCTCGGCAGTCTGGGCGCATGGCAATGGCTCCAATAGCTCTTATTGCTATTGCATCTGTGTCGCCTACTACTTGTCATAAGTGGTTTCTCCAGCCATGACTAGATGAGACATCCATTATATAGCCCCTATATATACCCTATTATACTATATGATAGCAGTTTCCAATTTTCTTTTTCCATTGTTACTATATAAACCAAATATATACCCTATTACACTAATGATGGCTGCTGGACTTGGAGTTGCCTCTCCAAGGAACCAGGATTCCCTTGCAGCTCCGCTGGCCGGGAAGGAGGTGGATGTGGTGGTGATCCCTCCATCACCTCGTGCTGTCACAGGCCCAAGCCGGGGATGTGACAAGTTGGCAGAATCCATGTTTGGATTCTCCTCTCCCATGTGGTAAGTTTGGGCTTTGGAAGGTCTTGTGCGTCCAACACTTCTGGACCACCCCCCCCCCCTCCACCTAAACAAATATGCAACCTCCAGCTCTACGGCCGCAGTGCGCAATTCAGGGCACCGGACTGTGAGGCCTGACAGTCAAGGAGGACAGAAGACTTCCAAACGCATGCTTCATGCTTTCAATGGCCCTGAATACCAGACCCTCAACCTCCTCCCCCCCCAGAAACACCTTGAACTCCATACTGTGCTGCCCGTAGCCATGCACGTACCAAAATCCTTCAACCTCCTGAGCGAATCCGTATGCAACCCCGAAATAACCCCTGTAAGAGCTCCTAAGTTTCTTTGATTGAAGGCTGCGAGGACGGTTCTGTGAAATTCTGGGACCTCCAGGCGCCTCTGCTTTTGAGTGCCTCGGGGATTTGGCATTTAGGGTTCTGATCCGGGTGGATCACGGCCAGGTGGGGGCTTTTCCAACTTGGTCTCGCAAAAGACGCTCTCCTCAAAGTATATGGTAGTTTCCCGAAATAAGGGGACCCCAATATAGACCCCAAACTACTATAGTCCTTATTATAGGGACCCCCAAAAGGGTACTCCTAATTTTGGGAAACCCCTATATAGTATAGAGATCTACAGCAGGCTCAGAAGCCTGGAGCTTACTTCAGACTGCGAGACCTCCAAAGCTTTCGAAAGATCTTCATGCCCTGAAACATATGTGGGCTCGGGCCCCCCAAAACCACAACCCAACAGCCATGAATCCCAATAGCCTGAAGCAAGTAAGCCCAGCTCTATGGGCGTAAACTGCCAATACACAGCACTTGACAACTTGCGGGGCACTTCTGGGAGTTCCAGAAGGACCCTGCAGTTGGTGAGTGGGGACGGCGATCCTGATTTTTGGGGGACTCACTTCCCAATACGGTGCAAACAGCTATTCATGCTGACACTCCAGCTCGTCTTTCCAGCATGTTGGAAATCCAGGTTCATCCTCGGGTCCCTTTAGGGTGCCCCATTTTGAAGTCCGAAAACCCCTAAACCCCAATTCCTATAAATCACTATCAAGAATCCCAGTTTCCAATTGCATGCGCCATGCTCTTTTCCATGTGCTTCTCCATGATGGGGGTGACATTCCTAAACCCGGCACCCTAAACATTTAGTTTCTATTTCTATTCCAGTAGCATTATCACACACACACATCTATATATATATATATATCCCCCTATAACCCCAACGTATACATAAATATATATATATATATCTCTCTCTATCTATGTATATGTATCCCTAAGTCCCCATCCGTGCCTCTCAGCAAGGCAAAAACTTGCTTGGCCACCCTGACCGGCCACCGTGGCTCTGCAACCCGGCTTTCACTACAGTTTTTGGGCTGTACATTTGGTACTGCCCCCACTCATTCACAGTTGGATAATATTAATACTACACGTATATATAGCCCGTTAATATGACCCCTATTATAGACTGTTAAGAGTGGGGGCAGAACCCAAGTTGCACACTCACATAGAATTCATTAGGAAAATGCAAGCATACATTTTATGGAGTTCCGGCCAAGCGGGAGTAAAGATATATGGATTTCCTTTAGGTAAATTGGCCAGTTATTCTGTGAGGTATTAGACTCTCCTGTCCTTTAATCTCGCGGGGTGATGATTCAAGAGTCATTGACTCCTGACTTTCCAGTCAGAAGATTGTGAGGCCCCTTTGGGTGCTCCTAATCCCTACTAGGGAATAAGGGAATATGCCCCTATATTCCATTATTTCCCACTAATTTCCCAGTAAGAAATTCAGCTGGTCGGAGGTCTGGTCTGTGGACGCAGACATCACTGCACGGTGCCTCGGGAGAAAACCAGGAACAGAATCACTTCCCCCGAAGATTACAACTCCCCACTCCCTAGCATTCAATAATTAATCCCATTGTGGTCATATTATGACATATGGGGAGTATTTAATAGTACAGGGGGATGGGGAGGTTTAATGTTTGGGGGTGGGGTTTGGAGGTAAGAGTTGCAAGCACAGGGAAGGATGTAGGGAATCACATGGCTGCGACCCACAGTAAATTAGGGTTTAGGGTATAGGGGGAGTTGCAACCCTGAAGCCCACAACTCGCAGCTTCTTCGCAGATGGCCAAATGGACCCGTCCCATGCTTTTGGCCAAAACTGAAACTTTTCACAAGGTCTTTGCAAGTTTACAGCAGAAAGGGTATAAGACGGGCGCTTGTTATGATGACTTGGTATTAATGTTTTGTGCCATTATACATATCATCATTACTACTACTACTACTACTACTACAATAATAATAATAAGTATTCCTAGTACTACCAGTCCTCTCTCATCAGGCTGGCCCTGTCTGGTTCAGCGGACGGCTCGCTGATGCTTTGGGACCTGGAACGGGAGGCTGGAGCAGCTCCTATCTAGTCCCGACAAACACGAACAAATAAGCTAGAGTGTAAACTCCTTAAAGGCGATTATATAGGAGATTATAACAGGGTCTATTAAGGGGGATACTAGGAGTTCATACTACAGGTTAAGTGGTGGTTTCCCAAAATTACCAATAATTAGGACTAGGGCATTTTAGGGTCTACGTATATTGGGGTCCCCTATTCATGGAAACTAGCAAATTCCGCTGTACTTGGTGTTCCTATGATATCCTCCTGGCTTCAAGATGTACACTTCCTATCTACTCGCTATATGAGGTGTATTGACCAAACCTCATAAGGTAGAGGTAGTTTCCCAAAACAGGGGACCCTAATATAAACCCCCAAATACTATAGTCCTTATTATAAAGACCCCAAAAAGCGGTACCCTGATTGTGGGAAATCCCCATATGAATTTGAACCATACATTGTGCCAGGAGTGCCTTCGCAGCTTCGAAGGCCTGGTCCAGAGGGTGGACCCCCCCCCCGTAATGTAAATGTTCCCAATATATTATGATATACCACAATGGGGAGTATTTAATGTTAGGGGTGGGGGGGTTTAGTATTAGTGGGAGGGGATTAGATTGTCAGTGTACAGGCACGATGACTGGGTGGCTGTCCGGGAGCTTAAGATAAGTTACCATAATGGGTATATGTAGTGATTGATACCAATAGATTGCCAGCTTACAGGCATGATGAGGTACAGACGGGAGAATAGATTTAGCCGCCTTGTGCACGGCTTGCAGCCAATCCAGCTCAGATTTGAAGAGCATTCATATCATCTTACCTTCACAACGCCTGCTATGATGAAGGGGCAGACGCCATCCTTGATTGTGTTCACCTTGGCCGCTCTCGCGCACCTGGGCAAGTGCCAGGATTCGTGTGATGCAGGTGCCTGCCAAGGTAACGTAAGTAGTCGGGGCTTGCTGCAAGTCGACAAGACTTTGCAGCACCGGGACTCAATCGGAACAACCGTAAGCACCACTTGGGCTAGCCCGTACTACATGATGAGCTGCCCGGGCACTCCAGCACTCACGACGCAGCGCATGACAGGGGCCCAGTATGACGACATAACAGCCGCTGTGACAGCACTCTATGACTCCCTTCCGAGCCGCATACCTTGAAATTCAGAGCACTTTTCCTTCAATCATTGTGCGAAAGTGTTCTATGTTGCGAGGAGGGATGATCCTGCAGTAGAAAGCGCTAAGGCACGTGCACACCGACTGAGTGTCCACAGGCAGACTGGGCAGGATGCGTCCTCCGAATGGCTGGTCACGACTTCATGGATTTCAAAGATGGAGAGGGTGGCGCAGATGGCTGTGTTGACCTCACAGATGCGGACAATGCCGGACTTGCCGAGTGCCTCTATACGGGTGAATTTGGCATCTCCATAGACACCGCCTACCAGCACTTCTGTGAGTCAGTGTCTTTGGCCGATTTTTTGGTCATTGCAGCCGAAGCCGTCATGACAGCATCGCGACAGCACGTGACAGCGGCAGACAGCACCCGATCCTCATTGGACTTCAAGTCGAAATTCAGGTACGGCCGTACAACAGCTAAGACGTGTGAGTGGGCACATGGCAGGTTGCCCAATCCGGAGAACAGCTGCGCGGCGGTTCAGGAGACCTTTGTTCAAAGCATGGGCCTCACCTGGGGTGAGGCTGCAGCACTCATGGGAGTGCATACGCTGGGAAGGGCAAAAGTGGCGAACTCCGGCTACGATGGTTGGTGGAGCTCTGCACGGATGAGTCGAAACTTCAACAATGATTACTTTGTGTCCATCTTGGCTAAGGGTTGGGCGCCCGAGGCTGCTGTTGCTGGAAATTCGGCGAAGAACCAGTGGAAGCGGTCAGACGTTGGAGCTAATGATGCAACACTGGGTAAAGAAATGATGTTGAACACCGACTTGTGCCTGGCTTTCACTATGGACAATGAGGGCGCTGTGGAGCTTGATGCAGCTACCGCCGAGCATGCGCAGTGCAAATGCACTTGGGGTGTGCCTGTTGCTGTCAATGCAGCAACCTCCAAGTATGAGGAGGGCCGATTCTGCGGCAGCACCGACATACCTGGAAGTTCAAACTTCAGACGGCAGCGAGCCCTGTGTTGTGGTGCCGAGTTTGACAGAACGTCAGATTCTTGGATCGACTGCGGTCTGCCAATAGATCCGAAAGGACCAGCATACCAGTCCATCAAGCGATTTGCCAATGATGAGGATGCCTGGATCAGAACTTTCATGAAACCTTGATACCATTGATCAAGTTTTATCCTCAACTATACTACCTTCAGTATGCCAGTGGATTTTTTTGGTAATAGTCCCAGCTGTGTGAGGAAAGCCTGGAAGATTGCCACAAGCAATGGCTTCTCCCTTCGCAAGCTGCGTTCCTGAGTCGGCTTCATTTTAATTTTGTGCTGCTCCTCAGGGTACTGAGGGCAACTTGAACTGCAGCCATTTGAAAGACGGTTGGCACGATGCAGTCAGAAGAAAACCGTGACAGCTGTGAAGTCTCAACTGAAGAATTCTCCCGTAAACCTGAATGATGTCTGTCATCTCTAAAGAACATGGCTGCTTCATAGCAGGAAAGTTTTTGCTGCGGTTTTGCCGCGGGAGGCCACGCCGGAGCTGTCTGCGCCGTAGCAGCCGACTTCGGGAGGCGGTCGGCAGACAGGGCGCTTGCAATAGCCCTCGCCCTTCCTAATATGAAAGATTCCTCATTGTAGTGCAAGATAGTGGTTTCTAGGACTGTAGAAAGGTGTTGGGCTTTAATTTGTGGAGTAAGAGAGTATCTGGGTGATGGCATGTTTCCTTGGGGTTCAAGGCTGGGTTTTAGCGTTTGGGGCTGGTCTAAGATAAAGGGTTCATGTAGCGGTTTTCCAAATCAGTGGCCATACTGATGAAGAAATCATCTGTAGAAGGATTTCACGACGGAGTCCAAAGGCAAAAATGAGAGACCCTAGCCGCTCAGAAACTGCGTGTGCATCCAGCAAGAAGCCTTCCCTTGGACATCTCCTCAAAGAAGGTTTTGCATCACCCTTGGCAACTTCTGCACTCTACACAGCGTTAGTTAGTAATGTCTGTTGAGCCACCACAAAAGGCGCTGGGCAGCGAGTGGCTCGGACGATGGCACCCTGCGGCTGTGGTCCTTCAGAGATTGGGCTGCATGATGTTTTGCGTTCAAACTGGGTGGGATGAGGCAATAGAGGGTTTATGCGGGAATGCGTTGCAAGAGAATGATGACGGAGATTTGAGGGTTTTCTACTTCACAGGCTCCTGGGTGGTGCTCTGCAGTTGCTGGGGTTCTTATAGGGCAATTATGGGGATCTATTCCGTTATGCACTTCTTAGCACCAGCTCCCAGGAAAATCGACAAATCGGAACTTCTCGAATTTTGGTTCAGGCGTAAGGGATCGTTTGCCATAACCCTAGTTAGCAGGGAACGAAGGAATAGACAACATGGAAACTACTCTACGGGGGCTTATATCCATTGCAACATTACAAGGGACACGGAAAGCATGCCTAAAAGTGTGCGCTGCCTTGCATACAGACACCCAGCAGGGTACGCCATCCTATACATGGGTAAGTAGAGCAATCTAGCCGATGCACCCCAAGCTTGTAATTCAGAAGCTGCGAGAAGATTTCCTGTGCAGGCCAGCGCAGTAGCCTGCTGACCCTCCGCTGTCCCAACGGCACTCCCTGGTCGCTGGTGGCTTCTTGCGAGGGCATGTCAGCGGCCCCTCAACTCACCATAGCCGCACTTCGTGTGTGGGGGCGACACTGGTTGCAACAGCCTTGCCCGACCCTTTAGCTTCTGCACGTTTTGGAACCTGAGGCAGCCCTGGCTACCTGGAGCCCCTAAAGTACTGCTATTCCTAGGAGTGGGGTTCTACAGCTGGCTTCAATCAAGAGCAGCAAGCAAAATATATTACAATATATAACAAAATGCTATAATTTCCCATAAAATACTATAGAATACTATAATTTACCATAACATACTATATTATAGTCGAACTGGTGCAGCGAGGTCAGTGGCCATGAAGGCGGATTCGTCCAGGTTTGGGATCTCTCCGAGGACTTGCTGGTGGTTAGTAGCGGACAAGGGAATACATAGTACCTCTTAAGTAGATAGAATATGGCTTTGGGCATATCATAAAAAGATCCCCATATACCCCATATTCTATCTACTTAAGGGGGACTACAGTTCCTGCAGAATGCCTATATAACATATTCCCTAAAGCCTGAGTATTAGTTTCCATCTTCTTGTCCATTATCCCTTTACATCCCTATATTATGTACCCCTGTATTCTCTTATTCCCTATTAGACCCCACCCTAAACCCCAACACCCTAAACCCCAAAACCCTAAACCCTAAACCCCTAAACCCTAAACCCCAAAACCCTAAACCCCCAATAAAGGAGGCCTGCGTGCATTCCTTTGGTTCCTATCACCAAGGCCTGGTCCAGGTGGGCAGTTGTTAACTAATTAGGGGTTTAGGGTTTAGGGTTTAGGGGTTTGGGGTTTAGGGTTCAGGGTTTAGGGTTTTGGGTTTTAGGGTTTAGGGTTCAGGGTTTTAGGGTTTTAGGGTTTAGGGTTTGGGGTTTAAGGTTCTAATTTTGGATATTCCCTCTGTGGCATAGTATAACATATTGGGAGTAGTCAATATCAGGGAGGGCGGGGTTTGAATATTTGGGGGGAGGGGATTAGATGGGTTATATGGGGATATACATAGGGGTGGACCCTGCATGAATAATGTGGGTTATGAAGGGGTATGTCTAAGGGAGAAGCAAGTGGAAAAACAAATGGACCATGGAATGGACAACATGATGTTGTACGCTTCTTTTTTCGCATGGACAAGCTGCTGAGGTTGTGGCTGCAGACTTTGCAAAGGCAATGGCAGCAAGCGGCTCGGATGATGGTATATTCTGCACCTGGGATCTGGCGAACATGAACATCCAGCACATGGTGCAGGGCCAGTCGATGATGTCAGTGTGGGCCATTGGCCAGACATTCGCATCCGCCAAGCGTGCCATGAGCGGCAGCTTTGATGGTCAACTTCACGTTTGGGATGTAAAGACTGGCGAGGCCACTGGCTGGCGAGGTGCTCCCGTCTGCGCCCTGGCCGTGGACTTTGAGTCTGGCCATGCTGTGAGCGGCAGTTATGATGGCCAGGTCTATGTGTGGGATCTGACGGCGCAAAGCGGGAACGTTTGCTCTGATCCCCACTCTGCCGCCGTGCGCTGCATTGTTGCCAGCTTTCAGTGAAACAAAAAGGCTCAACAGCTTGGACAGCACGCGCAGGTTCGGCCGGTTCAGCGCAGCTACCTTTGACCCCTTGAGCCTTGAGCCAACATGGCAGCCAAGGTAGCAGCCAAGGCCATGACAAGGACTCGATGACACAGCGCATCGGGAAGGATGCTCAGATGCAAATACATAGATTACAGCGCTCCTGAAGCGCCCTTGACGTATCTCGGACTTGTCAAACAACAGATGAATAGCGTAAATCCTGACTGGCTCCAAGTCACAAAGCCGTGAACCGAAGCACGAGCAAAGCCGACTTGTAGCGGCACAGGGCCCTTGACACTGCCTGGCATCTTGACATAGGTGTGCCCCTTAAGTAGATAGAATGTGGATACGGGGTATCGGTAAACGGGGATGTTATTACAACATACCCAAAGCCATATTCTATCTACTTAAGGGGGACTATAGCTTGGCTTTGGGGGATGATATCTAGCAGGCGTAAAGTTGCTGCAGCACAAACATGTGTAGGTCCACCAAAGATCCAACAAGATATGGCAGTTTTCCAAAACAGGGGGACCCCAACATAGACCCCCAAAATATTATGGTCCTGATTATGGGCACCGTGAAAATGGTACCCCCAATCTTGCGAAACGCCGACATTGCCATGTGGCAGCCTTTCAACTTTGTAGGTTATGGTGCGATCTGAGGTCGGGAGCGTTTATTGCTTGGGCCGCAAGTTGGGCTCTGGGTCCTTCGGTGAGATCTACTATGCCGTGGACTCACAGCGGCTTGCCCATAATTATAGTGGTGATAATTGTACCGATTATACCCATCATGGTAATAGTAATACCAAGAATAGCAATAAGAGTAATGCCATTACCAGAAACAAAGCTGGCAAGTTCCGGAAAATCTCATGGTGGTTGGTGTAAAAACGCGGCCCCTCAATTCCCTGAAGCAGAGCTCACAGGCTTTTCGGGCAGGTCACAGGTCCCGGTGGTCCGCTCCCATAGGAATTCTGTTTGAAATCAAAGTTGAGTTGCATCCATAGAGGAGATTCCGACAGCTGGTGCGCTTAGGCCAGCGCATTAGGTGAAGGGCGTCAGATGTAGCAGCAGAAGCGGCAATGTGGCGCTGTGTCAGCGCAAGCGTCATCATTCGATGGGCATGCAGACGATCTAGTGGAACGCCACAGCCACGACTAAATGAGACCCAAGGAGACGCTCCTTGCAAGCCAAAGCTGAGTAGTCCTTCCCTGCACCACTTTGAAGCTTCTTAAGGACTGGAAAGGAGCTCGCAGTCAAGCTAGAGCGAGTGGATAGCAAGCACCCCATGCTCCTCTACGAGGCTCTGGAATCAGATTTCCAGCACAGGGATCATCAGAATGGCAGGGGTTTCCCAAAGTTAGGTATCCATTGTGGAGTCCTTCACCGGTCTTGTGTTGTGCAGATGAACCGGAGGACTTCTGTTTTCAGGCCACCCAGGTACGGTAGTGTTCAACGATGTCCTAGGAAATTGAGGCGTTTGTGACCATAGGCTACATTCCCTGTGCCGTTGCTCCTGAAGACTGTGGGCATAAACCCCCATTAGCAAGTTGGACCAAATACTGGATCCGATCGCGAGGCAAAACTCCTCAAGCATTTGGAAGGAGCTCAGGGATTCGCATCAGCATCTCGGCTATGGCTGATGGCCGGCAAGACGTATATCCGTATATGTAGGCATGTTGAAAATTCGATGCTGTCGTGCACTTGGAGCCCATCTGCGCTTGACGAAGTTCCCAGCACCATTGCCAAACAGCTGGTGTCATGCTCAGGTGTATTTTTCGGATACGCAGGGCTCCGATCTTAGCACTTGCTTTGCAGGGTGTCCAAGTCCGGCAATGCACGCGATTAGCCGCAGTGAGCATTGCAGCTCGACGCTCGGGGTTTATGCAAGTGCCCCATTGTCAGCATCTTTCGGTTTGAGACGAGGCGATTACAACGTGATGGTGATGGACCTTCTGGGGCCCTCCTTGGAAGATTTGTTCAACATCTGCCGACGGAGGCCGAGAATCCTGATCAAACGACAACCCTCCCTCAAAGGTCAGGTCAAGTCTCAACAGGACCACAGTCATCAATCCTTCCGTGTTATACCCAGCTTGGTACATCCATGAGACGGAGGTTCACCCTCAAAACGCTCATCTTGCTGGCTGAGCAGATGCTTTACAGGCCCATTCCTTACAGCCCGCCTTGGGTCCATGTCCCAGCAAGTCTAGCACTTTGTTTTTGGTAATCCAGTGCTCAGGATAGAATATCTTCATTCTAAAGACTTCATACACCGCGACATAAAGCCCGACAACTTCCTCATCGGCGGAAGCAGAAACTCGGGCAGTTGTTGGGAAGCGTTCTTGAGTTTCGTGGCCTGAAGCATACAGATGAGGGTTATATAGGGTAATTTTGCGTCATATGGTAATAACGGACAAGAAAATGGAAATTACTTTATGTGCAAGCCATGATTGGCTTTTCATGAAGCCAAGGGGTATTGGAGACCCCCATACAGACCCCAAAACCTTACAATCCTCATCATAGGGGCCCCGCAAAATTGCGCCCCTAATCTTGGGAAACTTCCAAGGAAAGACCCAGCAGAGTCAGATTCTCTACTTGATTGACTTTGGCCTTGCTAAGAAGTACAGGCCAGAGATTGCTATAGGAAAGGGGCCTATGAGCTGTCCTCTAAACTCTTGAGAAAGAAAAGAGGGGCTATAAAGGGGATTATAAGGGAGTAGTATAGGGGCTATTAAGGCTAAGCTCGCCACCGGCCGTGGTTGCACGCAGCCGGAGAATTCTGAAATTCATTCAAAAAGTCAAAAAGCCAAAAAGTCAAAAAGTTTCACTTTTCGCAAGAAGTTGCACTTTTCGACTTTTCGGGCAAAAATTCAAAAAGTCGCACTTTTCGCAAAAAGTTGC